GCCTTCGTTGAAAATCAATTGTCTGTAAATGTGTGGGTTTATTTCTGGATTCGCAATTATATTGCATTGTTCTATATATCTATTCTTATGCTAGTACCTTGTTGCCTTGATATGGTTGCTTGTAGTGAGTTTTGAAATCAGGAAGCATGAGTCTTCCAACTTTGTTCTTTTTCAAGGTTGTTTTTGCTATTCTCTGTATGAATTTTGCTAGTTTTCATACAAATTTTAGGATAAGCTTGTCAATTTTTACAAAGAAAAGAGCTGGAATTCTGATAGGGACTGTGTTGAATCTGTGGATCGATTTGGGGAGTATTGCCATTTTAATAGTATTAAAATGTATCCAATCTATGCATCTGGAATATTTTTCTATTTATCTAGATTTTCTTCAATTTCTTGCAAAAATATTTTATATTTTTCAGAGTCTAAGTGATGTACTTCTTTTGTTAAATTTATTCCTAGTATTTTATTCTTTTTGATGCTATTGTAAAGGAATTTGCTTTTCCAATCTCGTTTTTAAATTGTTCTTTACTAGGGCATAGAAATGCAAAATTAATTTTTGGATATTGATCTTGTATCCTGCAACCTTGCTGAACTCATTTATGAATTCTAATAGGTTTTTAGTAGTCATCTTAATTTTTGAATGATAGTTTTGTCAGATATAGAATTTCTGGTTGATTTCATCTCCTTTCAGCATTTTGACTATGTCATTCTGGATTTCAAATATATCATATGACATTGTTTCTGAATGAGAAGTCAGCCGTTAACTTTATTTTCCTCTATATGTAATGTGTCATTTTCTCTAGATGCTTTTAAGATTGTCTATTTGTATTTACCCTAATTGGGTTTCTCTGGGCTTCTTGAATTCTAAGTTTACCAAATTTGTAAAGTCTTCAACCACTATTTCTCCCCAAAAATGTTCTGCCCCTTCCTCTGTCTCTTTTCCTGCCTGGGACTCTACTTATGCACATTTTGGAACCTGCGGTATTGTCCCACAGATATCTAAGTCTCTGTTCATTTTTCTTTAACCATTTCTCACCTTTTTCAGATTGGATAATTTCAATTGCTGTATCTCTAAATTGACCTATTATTTCTTCCGCTATCTCCAATCTGCTATTGAACTCATCTCGTAAATATTTTATTTCAGTTATTTTACTTTTCAACTTCATTATTTACATTTGGTTTTATTGTTATATTTTTCATTGATGTGCTGGGATTCCCTATCCATTTCCTCATTAGAACATTTTCCTTAAATTTATGTACATATTTGTAACAGCTGCTTTGAATCTTTGCTATCTGGACTCACTCTGAGTCATTTATCATCTACCATTTTCCCTCCAACTATTAGTTACACATTCCTGTTTCTTTTCCTGTCTTGTCATTTTTGGTTGAAAACTGGACATAAATTGTAATAACTCTGGATTCTGTTATGTTCTTACAAGAATTTGCTGTTGTTTTTGTTGTTAGTGGTCTAAAACGCTATAGCTTATCTAGACACAAACTGCAAACTCTCTTGCCTATGGTTTCAGCAACCGATATCTCTGCTCAGTTTTTTGAACTTCCGCTGCTCGTTTTTTTTAACATGGACTTCTATGGGTCTCTTTTCCTTTGCATCTGTGTTGCCCAAGGATTTGGGAAGAGTTTATATTTAACTCTTAAAACACCGTTCTTGTAGTTCCTTTGCTCCTGGGATTTTCCTCTTAAATTCTCAAATTCTGTCAATACCGAGTCCTATCCTCTGACCTGTCAAGCCAGTAATGCTTCAGCTTTGTGCTACCTGAACTTGACTGTATGATATTCCTTTTGTGGCTACAGTATTATACATAACTGATTAATGTTTTAGTTATTTCCAATCTCGTACTATTACAAATAATGATGAAAAATATTCTCGAACATATGCGTGAATAATGTAGGATAAATTCCTACGAATAAAATTACAGGTAAAAGATATATGCTTGGATGTTTTTGCTTAATTTTTGTTTTTAAAAGATGGGGTGTAATATGTCAAAATAAGTATTGATATTAACATTGTAAAACACTGTTTTCTGATGTCTTCTTTATTTAAGTTCAGAGATCAGATTTACTGGTTGATTTGTATTCCCAGAGAAAACATTACGAAAAATACAGGTAAGAGTGATCTGAATTAATTATTTTGCTCATGGGTCTGGATTGCCAAATTTAACAAATAAAAATATTTATTATATTAAAACATTATTTGCTATCTCAGGTAAATGTCTCATGTACCATTTGAGACATACTAAAAATTATTTGTGGTTAATCTGAAATTCAAATTTAATTGAGGTTTCTATATTTTATCTCACATTTCTATTATAGAGCGATTGTTCTGATATACAAAACATATTATTCTTTATTTAAAGTAAACTTATTTTCTAGAACTTGAAAATTGGAGTATTGAGAAATTCAGATATCAATTAATTTTACTGAAAATGTATCATTAATCTTAAAATGTTATAAGCTATAATATGTAATGTGTTATTTTACTATGTAATTTACTAGTAAGTGTAATATGGCAGCCTAGCTTTATATGCTACTGTAAATAAACAGATAGAAGAAGGAGGAAAGTAAAATTCCAGGAGCTGTGAGTATTGGCCTAGTAGACTGAGCTAATAGATCTTAAGGCATGAGATGCATTCTTATAATTTAAAAATGATGCAAGGTATATTATTTCAATATGGTAGGTAGGTGCAAGGAACAGAAATCAACTTGACTGCACTTAAGGAAAAAGAAATTCATTTTTGTCATGGAACTTAAAAATAAAAAAGCAGCCAGGTTTATAAGAAGGAATTAGAAATAAGAAATGGAAAACCATCAAGAACCCAGGGAGTACTTTCACCATTTCTCTCTTTTCTATATTTTCTGTTAATCTACATTTATTTTTCTTTCTTTGCAGACTAGCTTCCTAAAGCTGCCTCACTGCTGTCAAGTTTTTATAACCTAGAGGCCAGCTTAATTCCAAATTCCAGGGAGAGGTTGGCCTAGCATCCACTTGCATGTCAACTAAACGTAGCAAGCAATAAGGGATTGGGACAGTAGAACGGTGGAACAATACAGGCCCACCCATCTAGGTATAAGAGTAATTTAAAAACATACAAAATTGTGAGTCCTACAGAGAAAAGGGCAGGGGGTAGGGAGGGTTAGAGTAAGGCAGAAATGATAGAGAAGACTTTATATAAGGAAATGTCAAAGACAAAAGTCTGCAAAAAAAGCTCCAGTGCTGTAACATCTGATATGGATTACATCACTATTTTATCCTGTATTTATCTCGATTATTTCAAATCAACCTATTGGAACTTTTAGTGACTTTTTTTCAAGGATTTCATCCTGAAAATTGTACTTCTTTAAAAAAATTCTAACAACTCTTTATCAGTAAAATGATGGATTGTTCTAGCTATGTGGCATAATATTGACATTAGTTTGACCACTGAAGTGAAAATTACTTTTTATTTTTACTTCTTCTATTTACAAACTTTAATTTCAGAAACACAATGATTCTAAGGTCAGGAACAACAGTGATCTAAGAATTTAAGTAATTTATGTAGAGAGACCAAATGAACTCTGCCTATCCTGAAACAACTCCCTGGACTGGGTGAAAAGGAATATATGGGCTTGTAGTGTAATAGGAGAGGACGGTCTAATACTAGCAACCGCTAGAATTCAGGGCGGGGGAAATTCAGGGGGAAGGAGATCATATTTGCTCATTCACTTTTTCCTCCTTAATCTTATCTTATTTACTGCCGTACCATGAATTTGAGTATTACGTATATGTAAAATCTTGGGAAAGGTAGTTTAGGTAACATCAACAACAAAAGTAGCAAAGTAGTCATCATAGTACTAGTAGAACTAGCAGGTAGTATTTATTGAATTCTTATTATATTTCAGCAGTACTCTAAACACTTTAATAACTCATTTATTCCTCACTATATGTTAGGTAGTATTATTATCTCCATTTTTAAATGACTTAACTGAGGCCCAAGGATATTTAGTGATAGCTAGAAGGTCATGAAGGCAATTTGAAGTTTGAACTGCATATACTGTTGAAAATAAAAAGAGTCCCTCTTTGATTTACAGTTCATAATTTGTTCTTTTTTCATTTTGAAATAAGGCTTAATTGACATTCGGTAAAATATACTCTTTTTAGTGTCCAGGTCTACAAAACTTCACAAATGTATATAATTGTATAATCACTACCATCGAGATAAAGAACAGTTCCATCTCCCAATAAAATTACCCGACCTGTCATCAACCCCTTCCTGTGTCCCAGGCCCCAGAAACCACAGATCTATTTTCTGTTTCTATCGTTTTGCCTATCCCAGAGTCTGGACTGAGGTTAATTTGGGAGGAATATAGATATGCAAATATTCCAGCACCATTGCTGTCAAAACTACTTTGCCTGCATCGAATTGCTATTCCTGGGCTATCTTTTAATCAATACTACAACATCTTGATTATTTTCGCTTTATAAAATGTTCAACGTGTATCGAGAAAAATAAACATTCAAGCACTGGAATAACTAAGATGCTATTTTTCAGAGTGGGACATCATTACCTTGGTCACTTACCTAATGGATAAGTCTTCTTTACTTGGGTACTTTACTCTACTTGGGTACTAGGTGCTTTGGCAGCCACCATATCCTTGCTGGGGTGGTACATAGGTCCACCTAAAGGCCTGGGTGGACATGAGAGCTTGTGCAGCCGAGCCTTTTGGGTCAGGCATGTGCTTCATGAGTGCACCCTGGTTTCAGCCTCAACCTCAGTCTTGCCCTGTGGATGCCACTGCTGCAGGAGCTCCTAAGCTGAGTTCACCATCCACGGCTTTCCAGGATCCCACACATCCTTTTACTTTTAACTCATCTGTGCTTTTATATTTAATGTGGGTGTCTTAGAGTTAGCATATAGTTCAGTCTTGATTTTTACATCTAATCGGGAAATCTGGCTTTTAATTGGTATTTTTAGACCATTTACATTTAATGTAATTGTTGGTATGGTTGTACTGAACTCTGCTTTCAGGCTGTTTTCTATTTGTTCCATCTCTTCTGTTTTACTTTTCACTTATTTTTCTGTCTTCCTTCACATTCATTACTTTTTATGATTCCATTTTATCTCCACTATTGGTGTATTGGTTTACCCTATGTTTTAATTAATCACAGTTTACTTTCAAATAATTTTATGCCACTTCATTGAAGTGCATAATCTGCTTTTACCAAGCCACAACTGCTCAGAGAAAAGTTATTATTTAAAATATCATCATCTGGATTCACTGCTATAGTGTAAGATCACTTCATAATTCTTTTCCCTTATTTTTTTAAATTTAATTTTATTGTTTTTTAATTAAGTTTCTTGGGGTAACATTGGTTAATACAATTATATACTTTTCAGGTGTACATTATAATTTAACATCTGTGTATTCTATTGTGTGTTTACCACCCAGAGTCCAGTTTCCTTCAGCTACCATATATTTGATCCCCTTTACCCACTT